CGCGACCCCTTTCGTCCGATGTTTGGCAGCAATAGTCAGGATACCTGCCTTGATGACACGTATTTTTCCTGTGTCTACATTGTCACCTACTCCATGACGATTGTTGACCAGATATTGCGATTTAGCAACCTACGCACCGATTGTGCACCACCGTGAGTTCATGCTTGCGACCCCTTTCGGCCGATGTTTGGCAGCGATAGTCAGGATACCTGCCTTGATGACGCGTATTTTGTTCTTGTGTCTACATTGTCACCTACTCCATGGCGTTCGCTGACCAGTTGCTATTGAAACAAAGTTCCTAGTTATATATTATTGGACACGTTAAACGCAGGCTGGTTATTAAGCTAATTATTCTTCAATGTTATTTACTTATTTCTAGATCAACAAATGGATTTATACCGACAAATCAACAACTACTTTGACACTGTTAAATACTCCGAATGGAGTATCCTAGATTGCTTGTATTCGATACAGAACCCAATGTTCACGTCTGACAACGCGGACGAAGTCGCGACCATTATAAAAGATATAATTGGAACACGTCGTATATCAAATTCATTATTAGCGAGTGCAAGACGTAAACTAGAACATCTCGAGTCCAAATTTGAGTCCACTTGGACGAATTCCGTAGTCCGACAGTACTTCAATAAATTAGATCTCTCTCACACAAATGTAAGTGTTAAAAGCATTCGTCACTCTGGGTTAATAGTCTGACTTATAGCTATACAAATTAGGAAATGTATGAAACAAGGGCGAAGACCAATATTATCAAAGATAAAACTGTATTAAGTGATGCTCATACTCAAGACATAGCCAACGTAAGTTTATTTCGGCGGTTCCGTTCACTTCACCGACACCCATTTCATAGACATAACACTTCACCTACAATCAATTCGCCGACATGTTTATTTCGCAGACAATCAATTCCTAGACAAGCTCATTTCGTAGACAACTCATTTCACCGACAGCTCATTTCACCGACATTATTATCTTTAGAATTGGGGTTAGGGTTTAGGATTAGGGTTAGAAGAATTTACAAGAAATAAACTTGTCGGTGAAATGAGCTGTCGGTGAAATGAGTTGTCTACGAAATAGCTTGTCTAGGAATTGGTTGTCTGTGAAAGTACATGTCGGTGAATTAATTGTAGGTGAAATGTTATGTCTATGAAATGGATGTCGGTGAAGTGATACGTATCCTTATTTCGGTGCATATACTGTAACTGATTACCAAATGCTTGTTATTTTATTTACCAATTTTTTGAAAGTCGTATGCTGTAAATAGCAAAAAACGGCAACAGCCTGAAAATACACATTACTATGAATCCAAACAAAGGAGAATTGCTGATAATGATATTGGTGACAAATCAGAGACAGATCCAAATGATGAAGCGGATTTTGATAACAGCAAAGTATCTAGTATTGATTCAAACATCGTATTAACAGATAGCGATACCGATAATAATAAGGTATTCTGGGATAATGAAGAATACTGCCAAGAACATCTCAAAAAATTCTGCGCGAAGTTCGAGAAAAAAAAAAAAAACCAAGTTTTCAAAAAATCACCAATA